GTTACTTTTGTAACCTTTTAGGTTACTTTTGTAACCTTTTAGGTTACTTTTGTAACCTTTTAGGTTACTTTTGTAACCTTTTAGGTTACTTTTGAACTGCTGTGGTTACTTTTAGGTTACACTAATGAAAAGGTTACTTTTAAGTGGATTTTTCAGAAATTGTAGAATTAACTTTACAGGTTATTCAGTAAAAAATATTAATAGTGACAATTTAAAAATTATGTCATTAAGTGCATTTNAAAAAAAAAAAGTATGCGCGCGCGCGCCGTGATAAACTTCCACCCTTTCTATTCCTTCCTATCAAGGATTTTTGTCGACAAACGTATGGCCTTATCGCCTATAAGCCATAGGCTTATCGCATAGGCTTATCACGTTAAATCGATAAAACGGCGCGATAAAAGCTTATCGCCGTGCACATCCTAGGTCTACTGGACAAAATATTTAATTTTTTAATAAATTCGTTATACAGTGTGAGTCACGTTAAAGTGTACATATGAAAATAGATGAAACTAGACCTATTTTTATCGACAAAAAAGAGGTCAAAAAATTTTTGAGATTTTTTAAAAAATTTTTATAGAATTTTTTTTCTTCGATTTATAGGTGTACCAGAATCTCATGGCAAATAGGGAAAATAAACTTTGTTGAGAGCAATACTGGGGAAATTGGATTAAACGACCTTGATACTGATAATAATTTTTTACTTTTATGACTTTAATATTAATGAAGTACGAATAAAATAGTAAGACACGGGTCTTAACGCGACGTTTATTAATGAGAATTACTATTTTAATTAATGGAACGCGAAAGTTTAAAATCTTATATGAAGTACGAATACACATTTTAGGTAGGTACCTATGTGTAAGAAAAATGTTGTTATAGGTGTACCAGAATCTCATGGCAAATGGGGAAAATAAACTTTGTTGAGTGCAATACTGGGGAAATTGGAATAAACGATCTTGATACTGTTGAATTTTTTATTTATGACTAATATTAATGAACATGAAGTATGAATGCCTACCTATACATTTTAGGTAGATATGTGTATGAAGAATGTTGTTGTTATATATCGGGTTTTTAACATAGAAACATGTCTTGAAAAATAAGTAAACCGTATATTACTGTAAATAATTTTATTATGTATCATACTTATAACTTATAACTTCATTCAGAACTAGAAAACAATTCTAAGATAAGAACTCCACTTGCATTTCTTGTTCTTCAATAGATGATCAAGTTAAAGAGGTATTTATACAGGGTGGAATTTTGTAATGCCACCTGGAGGGAAAGTACTCTTAATACTGTAGATATACAATTTTACTGAAAGAAAACATTCCTTTATTTTTGAAAAAAAAAAGAGAACTGCATTCAAAGATTTTCGAAATTTTTTCGAAAATTCTCTACTATACTTACCATACAATTTTCTGCAACATTATTAAAATAATTTAAGATTTCATGGTTTTCCTTTCATTTGATTTATCAAGTTTGTTAGAGAGATTTCATCCTTATACTTAACCCTAACGATCGATGTAATAAAAATACAGGCTGTAATTTTTAACAGTTTTTAGTTGGTTCGATTCCCGGGTGTGGCAAGCAAATTTTTGGAAATCTTTGAATGCAGTTCTATTTCTTTTCAAAAATAAAGGAATGTTTTCTTTGAGAAAAAATGGCAGTGGTGGTGGCTCACAAAATTCCACCCTGTATAATATAAAGTATTTCAATTACTCAAACTTGCTTGATGAAATCTTTTTCAATTTTCTTTACATGGTCATAACTTTTTCACTATTCCTCTGCACCAATGTATGAAATACACCTGAAAACCCCGATAAAGCAGCTATTATGTAAGAATAATATAAAAATAAACATGGGTTATGTTTATTTTCCTTCCTTCCATCCTTCTGACGCTGTTAGGTAATAAACTAAATGTATCAAATCATTTCACTCCAACTTACTGTCAACTCAACGACGCGCTTTAAAATCAAAGATTGACTTTGAATTATGCCTTATTTAACAATTGACATTGAAAACAATATGCCTTGCTTGAACTTTTTCGACTTTTTTTACAAAAATAACAAATAGTCAAGAAGAGATTACAAAAATTTTGCAGCGGCTCAGATTTCATAATTTTCTTTGACAGGTGACAATTAAACCATAGACAATTGCCATATTAAAAACACACTTTTCCAATATTTTTGTTTGCCATGAGATTCTGGTACACCTAAGTATATACATCGGGTTTTTAACACAGGAAAATGTCTTGAAAAATAAGTAAATCGTATATTACTTTATGTAACTAATTTTATTATGTATCATGCTTATAACTTATCACTTCATTCAGAACTAGGAAACGATTCTAAGAACTCCACTTGCATTTATACTTTCAAGTTTTATTAAAAGAAAAAAAAAATGGAAACTTCTCCATTATTCAATCTTGCTTGATAAAATCTTTTTCAATTTTCTTTACATGGTCATAACATTTTCACCATTCATCTGCACCAATTTGTACCTGAAAATCCCGAAAAAGCATCTATTAAGTAAGAATAATATAAAAAAAACATAACCCTCCTTCTGACGCAGTTGGGTAATAAATTAAATGTATCAAAACCACAGATATGGATAGATGCAGCATGTGTCAAAAATTGTATGAAGCCGAGCGTGCCACTTTTTAAACGTCATTAGTGTCATTTTAGCGAATTTTAGTGATTGCCGCAACGTAAAAGTAATCGTATCATCGTACTGCATTCGCAAAGTCATCGAAAGAAATCGTGTGACTCGATTCGAAAATTAATTATTTCCGATAAAACTGATATTTTGTTAAATTTATAGCTAGTCTGACTGTGGATTAAAATAATTTTGTAGCGGTAGACGTTATTCTATATCATACATTTTTTTATTAATTTGCAAATAATATTAAAAACAATCCTACTTTATAATTCTTCTACTGCTACTTTATTCNGGATTTTTTGCGTTATTTTTCACAATTTCTATTTTTAAAAATTACCTATCGATAGCTTTCTTTATTCTGATGAATAAATGTCATTACAAGTTTTTCCCTAAAACTGATAGTTTGGCTAGAAAAAATATTTTCTATCCACGCAGTACGCCGGCAGCGTTCGGATCGGATATAGTGACGTCATCGTCCCCGCGCCGGGCGGTCAGTGAACTTTTTTAGTAATTTGGCCATAACTTCGTCAATTTTTGTCGTAGAACAAAAATTTTTGAACTGTGTATTAAGGATTTCTTAGTCCTATAAATCTGCATTCACAGCTAAAAATCGAAATGATCCTCATTGGCCCCTCTGACTGGGAGTTATTGTCTGTGGACAGTAATATTTAATCTGCGACTGACTAAGGACCATGAAGCTAAAGATAAAATGGAGGCCACACTTCGAATACCTGCTTGGAGCATAACCTATGTATTACTATCTCGCTCTCTGTGGGCAGGCTCTCTCTTTCTAAGTAGCCTTAAATCACAAAATTGTCGGCCGTTTAGGCTTAATGTGTTGGCGAATCAGGGAATTACAATCCCAATTCCTGAGGAATCGGTAATGTGGCAACATCGGCCCAATCCGGCCCATCGGCGGTTGTATATTTTGTTTACTATGCAGTTAATTTCGTTTTAGATTTTTTACAGGACCTAATTATTGTTTTATCACAAGAAATGGTGCAAAATTTTGTAGTGCGTGGTATCCCGGAAGTGACTTAAGATTCCACGCGTAAGTGTTTATTTCGTGATTTCCGACATTGGATCATTGTAAACATTTTTCACGGTAATTTCTTCCTAAAACGTTTTACCAGTANTTCCTTTGTTTTTGGTGCAAATTTTAGTGTTTCGTAGCAGGTTTTTAAAATTTCTAAAGCTTATTGTATATCATCTAACAATGGATACTTTAGATAATACGTTTTCCTACATTCTGAATTATAATAACCAATGTCTGCTCATGAACGCTTCAAACTCGGTACTTCTTTCCCAATTCCATAAAATTCAACACTTAAAAAGTGACAAAAAACTTTAAAATAGGTAGTTGAAACAAACCACAGCTAATTTTCATAGTTGACTGTACTATACGATAAACATGTCAGTCAATTTGACAACCTTTGTCGGAAACATTATTCAATGAAAATATTGTCCGAACCCTTAGTATTTCTCTTCGACAAATACTTTAACACTTTGTGAACCACTTTTCTTTCTCGACTATAAAAAGATTTTAGCAATTTAATTCACAAAATCAATTGCGCGCATTTAAAATAAAGTTTGTTTACACTATGACAGCAATAGACTGACATGCAAGGTGACATTATAATGAAGTTTTCAGTTACTGTTGCCATTAAAAGAAATTAGTACCATAAGTTTTCCGCAACATGGCGAGGGTTTTTATGTTCCTGGTCAGGCTATAGTTAAAGAAATAGAAGACGGAGTATTTTAATAATATTTATTTACATCAGCGAAATCATTTGCCTTAATAAGTTAATAATCATCTGCCACAAGCTGACAACTAAATTATTAACAAGTATGTTGTGGTTACATTTAATTACATAATTATAAAATGCCCATTTAATATACCATGCAATTTTGTATACCCATTCTTATAAGATACACCATACAAGAATGCGTGGTAAATTCAGTGAACTGCTCCTGAATCAAATGTACCTACTACTGCTTTTTCTATTTATTTAAATTAACCGGCAGACAGTGGTGGTGACTGAGTTTGTTGCAGCGCTTCTTCTCAGCATTTGCCAAATGTTGGTCTCGAAGCGCTGGTAGGGTAAAAAGATTATGAGACATGTAGAGGCTCCTTAAGAGCAAAATATTTGACGATTTGTAAGAACTATTTAATAGTCTATACAAATAAAGAAATTTTGACTTTGACTTTGAATACGATTATTTTGCCGATCTTCGGTGCATGTCGCTCTAGCAACGGATTGAATGTTATAATCGAATTCCATTGTATCGATCTATGTAAGTATGTCATCGGATCGGACATCCCTATGTGTCATTCATGAAGTGTCATCATAATGTCATTCTCGTCAGATTCTCGTTTCTCTCTCGTCTCGAACGATTTGTGATTTTATTGATTGTGTTGTTTTCATTGGGTGGTAGCCATTAAACAGAATAATCATTGATTGTGATTGTAATGCTATTATTTGTATTCTCTAAAACTTATTGCCCTTACGCTCCACCGTGACTTTAGGTTGGTGGTATTCACATTCAGTCCGCAACTTCGATAACGATTACTTCTTGGAAATGGAAATTAGAAGTAGGTAAGTGGTAACCAACATTAAAATTAATTTTATGTATAAATAAAATTTTCTCTGAATCTGTTTAGATAACAAATTATTTTTATATAAATGAGAAAATATTGCATGCATCAAAAAGAAAAGCAAAACAATTTGATACAAAGTTAGGTGCAGATTAATAAAAATTGCACAAATACCTCTACCTACACCAAAGTTTTTTGATAGAAAACAAAAGAAATTAATTAAATTATCTTTGGTCATTTTAAACTGCACCTCTAGATGCAAACTAAATAAAGCTTGTAGGTACTATGGGGTATTAGACAAATGGATACATACATTATTATAAATAGAAAACACCCAACCAATACAATATGTTTATACACACAAACGTTTTTACCAAGCGAGAATTCAACCCGCAATCTCAGCATATAATTAATTGTTATTATTGTATTTTTGTTACAGAATAGTGTAAAGGAGGAAACTGGATTTGAAAACCCATGTACCACTGACATTTCACTAAGAAGCAAATCGGCAATGGGTTGGTGAATTAATTTCCTATTACACACATAAGTTACCAACTCATAGGAGTACTGTACTGTATGGTGCAGGAATTTTGTGATTTATTTATAACTTTTATAGTTAAGCTTTCAAAATGATTATTAGTGATTTACCAGAAGAAGTGATTCTCATAATTTTAAGGCAATTAGATTTGATATCTTTAATTAAGTTATATGACGCCTCAGATGATATTTTGAGAAAAGTTCTGACACTACCTTGTGCAATAAAGGAATGGCACATGTCGCTAAGTTGTTTGGCAACTGTACAAACTTTCAAATGTAATCTCTTTAAGGATGCGGCCCACCACTTACAAGTTTTGAATTTATGTAGTGTTAAAGATTTGCGTAAAACTAATATCATACCAGTCTTAAAGAGGATGAAAAATTTAAAATCCCTTGATGTCTCTTATACAGAAATTAAATTCTTAGACTTTTTTGACATGCATGATGCTTGTCCTACCATCAATAGTTTATGTATCAATTATAGTTTTGAAAAAGGTAAAGTTACATTTTCAGAAAGTCAGGTACTGAGAGGTCAAGATGTATTTGAAAAAATGGAAAATTTGCATTTAATTGGCAATGCCGTTAATTTGTTGTATACAAATGTACCGGGATATTTTTTGCAAAAAGCCAATTTGAATACTTTAAAATGTACCATAATAAATGAGCCGACTGGCTATGTAGAATGTGATGGAGAATTTGATGGAATTATTAAATTCAAACAATTTTTTGTTTATTTCATGAACTTAGAACTAAGTTATGGACCTTATTATGGCATGTCCATGTTCAATATGTTAATTAAAGAACACTATGAATTTATAATAATGTATAACAGAATAACTTTAGATGATGTAATAGTGTATGCTACTCCTGTATTTGAAGAGTTTTTTAAAGAAAAGTTTAATATCAAGATAAGAGGTATGCCTCAGTATAATAATCAACTCACTGGAAACATGGCTGTATTAATATTTAAAAAAGAAGATACTTGTTTTAACAATACATTTTTCTCGAACTTATTTCATAGGCTGAAAGACTGTTTTCCAGTATATTTCGAATATGGCAGTAAGAACCCTGTACCAGATAACTTTAATTGGTATTATACTACTCCTACAGTACCGCCGATAGGTGATTTCATTGTAGAGGAACCCTACGAATTTAAAAAAAAGAGGATCGGTATCCCGAATTTTATACTTAATTTGGATGAGCCTTTGAAAAGTAAAAATAAGGTTCAATTGACTGTTTCATTTCTTTTGAACTATGTTACCCCTATTACTTTAACACCAAGTTGTGATTTTTTGTCAAAACTAACGTTTTTAAGTTTAGCTGGTACTGTGCGATACAGTGTTGAGTTCTTCAATGTTCTGTTTAGATGCTGTGCAAATCTTGAAACGTTAGATATTGTAGCGTCATCTGTATCGCCGTGCGTGTCGTCTATATCCCGATCGGTACCATTGAGCAAAACGTTGAAGAACCTGCGCTTGACTGATAGGAGGTTTGATTATAATACATTTTTCCAATCTCTTAGTCAATGTAAAACATTGGAAAATATTCACGTGCTCGATCGTTCATCGGAAACTACGAATTTGGCAGATCCAAGCACCCTAATTAGAAATTGTAAAAATTTATATAGCATCTGTTTACAAGCATGTATGAGTACCGCAACCAAAAAGAGAATGATTAGTGTTTTTAATAACGCAAAATCTTCTATGAATATGCATCACTTGGATATTAAATTGTGCCAAATATTTTTGTCACACGACGTTGAAGGATTTGAGTATGAACCATTTATTCATGTTTTTAATGTTTATCCAATTAAAAGCGACTTAAAATTTTTATGAGAGTTATTAATCCTTGCCCTTCTTTGCGATTTCATTGGGATAACTGAGGGGTATACCAGAAAATAAGATGTAAACAGTCAATACAATGATGTAAATGCTAAATTCATATCATACTTTATTGTTTGATTGACCATGTTTTCGCCGGTTTGTTAGTTTTGTGATTGACAAGCAAATGATGCCAAGAGCGGCGCTGCCGCCGCAGGCGTAGGTTAGCACCCCTCTGTAATACTGCGGGCAATCCTCCACATTATTACATTTGCTGAAACGAAACGAAAACAGTTTTTAATCAGTTAATTTACACACGATTTTAGTTTTTTTTATTACTCTAATAGGTACGTACTAGTTTTCAATAGCGACGACGGCTATGCCAGTAACCAGCTTATCTGCAAAGGTCACTATTGAGTAGATGGCAGCTCCTTGGTGTGAATGAGGTCCGATCAAGTCAGCGGTGACACATAGGCTTGATACTAGTGTTATGGAACTACCAGCACCTGTAGGATTATAAATAGGTACCAGTAGGTAAATACGTGGCTTTAAAATACAGTCACACATACGAAATGTTGGCTTAAGTTGTCAATAATTGTGCTCTTGATACACAGAGTTTAGGTTTCCTCAGCATTTATAGTGCTTTAGCATAAAATAGGCCACTTTGGTATTATGCTACGAAGGACCCCCGTGTAGTTTAGGAATGATCAAACTAAACAATCGCTTTTCATCCACATCCATCAACATCTGAATTTTGGGACAGCATGACGTATAGGGTGGACCATCATTTTATGCATGATGCATAGGTAATTAGGTACCTAATGTAACTATGGCCAACTTACCAATAAGTGTGGCGACTAAATATATTTGCACAATGTTGGCTTCTGGGTCGATAGCCAATGCTATCCAAAGGCAACTGATCAGGCTCAGGGAACTTCCAATTAAATAGGCTATCTGCAAAAAAAAAAACAAGTTAAATATCTCACACAGTCTCACACCCATATCAATACAAAAAAAATAAGTTCATGCACACAAATGTTTGCACTGTGAATCGAACCCGCGAACTCTGGCATAGTAGGTAGTCCGGAACGACCCGGTATGGTAGTGCGCACATTACACCGATTTGGTATCGGATTCGCTTGATTTCTCATACAAACTGATAGCCGACTAAAAGTCTGACGGTTGCGGGGTGTATGAAAGCGTAAAATCACCTAAGTCTTTTAATATTGTTTTTATGAATTTACCTAAATAATGGTTTTATCCTACCTGATTGCCGCAACTGCTAATCTTGCTCTTGAGAAGGAGGGAGAAGAAAAAAGAAGAGATGTACAGGACTAGAGGAACGCTTGCGATCAGTTCTGACCCCTGAGTGGGGTTGACGGACAATCGTTCTTCTAGGAACAGGGGGACGTATACCAAGCTGAGGGCCCAGTACAGCCTGGAAAAGACGTATCTGAAACAATGCAAAATTTTATGATTTTAAGTGTCAGTTGCTTGCTACGTACTTTTCAAGGCACTGTGTAATTGGTCATAATTTCTACTTTTACTTATGTTATTTATTTTTATGATTGTCTGGCTCTTATTCAGAAATTTACTGCAACCTATATCGAAGATTTCATTTGTTCGTTTCAGCCAAATGAAGTGTCCACTGTTGGACAAAGACTTCTTCGAAGAATTTCCACAACGACCGGTCCAGTGCTTCCCGCATCCAGGTAAACTTACTATTCGCAACCTTCACCAGATCGTCGGTCCAACTGGTGGGACCCCTACACACACTTTTGTCGTCGCCACTCCAGAACTTTTCTGCCCCAACAGCTATCAGCTCTACATGCTATGTGCCCTGCCCATTGTCTAAGAAGAAGACCTTATTAAATGTACATAATATGTAGGTACTTCACTTACAGCAAACTAGTCTGGTACAACAACGGCATTTGTAGAAAGTGCATAATTTTACTCTTCCCAGCCGTTGCAGTGTCTTCTTCAGCTGCTGTCATTAGCGTGGTGGTCCCATTGGTGGCGTGGCCATTCGTCTTAGACTCCTTGTTACCTCTCAATTTGAATAGCAAGTGGAAAAAGGTGAATGCCGCAATTCCGATGCTTGAAATTATTAATGACACATCCTGAAATAACGGAATATTTAAATTTTCAGGCGTATTACGTAGATTTATGCTTGAATGAGTTGATATGCCATGATAATACCTAGGTAGGTAGTTAAATAAACGATACCTATCTACAACATAAACTATCTATGACTTCCAGTAAGCTGATGGTTAAAAGCTCGTAGGTACTACTTATCATAATAATAACATAATCTTTATCTTTATCATAATAATATCAAAATTATTAACATAATAATTGTCATTGGTAGGATTCACAAACTGCCTCAAACTTTGCAAGTGTCCTTACTTCTTACTTCATGTAAAATGCTCCTATAAAATTAACTGTTATACCTACCTACTTAGTTTTGTTTGGACTTACTCTGAACTTGTAGTCGTCTGTGGGACCAATGAATGTGCTGTAATTGGTTGCTCTCAACACCACCCACGTGATGAGGTAGACCAGCAGGCTGGATATCACTGAGGCCATGTACCTGGACATTTTGAGATTATTTTTATCAGGATATTAGCTGCAACATAAGCTTTGCTGAAATATAATTTGTTTCATTAAATTACCTTATCTACGATTCTAAAACTTTGGAATCCATATCAAAGATTTTTAAGTTAGCTCAACTGCCCTTTAAAAAAATGGATTATTTTAAATAAGTCTAACGTGTTAGTTCCCCGATAGAACTGATTCTGATCTAGGTATTTCGGTAGATTCTTCAGTTAAAAGGTGATCTAATAACCTGTTCAGCCTTGACTAGATTTTTTTTTAATTTTCAAAGCACTCAGTCTTCCTGTAAACAATAATAATACTATCATCCATTTGCTTAATATAGAGTTCTTAACTGCTTAGTCTATCAAATATTCCTGGAACTAGGTCATTCCCAATGCGCGTCAGCGGGCCCGATCGATTAATACACGTCTAGATATAGCTCTAGCTTGCGAATACAAAACATTTAAGGCTGAATTACGAGTAAGTACCTTATCGAGGTCAGCTCCGACCTGACTTGCAGATTATCAGTTATAGCTGGTATCATGGCCAAATGCGAGATCTGGACGATAGCCCATCCTATTTGGAAGAAGGCGATGAGGGTTGCGTAGTAGAACGGCATCCACCAGGACAGGTAGCTGTCGTCTGCCTTCATCCAGCAGCCCCAACATCGTATGAAGAGAAGGGGAAAGGTGCAGCTCACTAGGATCGATCCTGAAAAAAGTATAAGTAAAGTATTTGAATAGTGATCTATCCTGAACAAAGTTAAACAAGCGTTTGAAAAGTTGTCTTGAAAATTCGTTTTCTATTCTAACACCATTTGGAACGCAGTAAAATGTAAACGTCCAGGTCATGATTTATTGGCATTGTAAACTGCATTTAAATTGACACTGCAACAGATGCGTTAACATTCAAAATATAATGTGTAGCTTAACTATCCAAGGACTACCTAACCTGCTGAAACTTAAAGATACTTAGCCTAATCTACAAACTGTCATTAATAGTTAAAATAAGTCATTGGTCAGAGAGTTGCATTACCTCTGTTCTGGATTCGAGTTTAAAATGGGACAGTGGAAACACAGGATAAACTTCATTATACTTTACTCGTAATTATTACATGGCAAAATAAATACTAGTAGGTAGGTACTAGTACGTACTCCAGCTCCAGTCTTGCTAAGATATCTACACAAGCAGGATTGATTCCACTTGATTGTTCAAGAGAATATTTCAGGAAAGCGATTCTTTGTTTTCAGGAAAATCTAATGTTAATTTAACATCATCTAGAATTTAAATTAAGACCTCTTACCTGTCAAATGCCAGGATTTCTTTGTGCCATATTTATCTGCAAGTATACCCACAGCCGGCGTCGCTAATGCATCAACGACCTGACCTGAAACATTTAAGAACAAGTTTTACTAAGTAGGTACCTACATGACGTAGAGCGATAGGTTTAAGGCTTAATAAAATAATTAGGTCATAATGATATGAGTCAATAACCGCAACTCACAAGCTTTTGCATAAGTTCTACGCTACGAGTAGGCTAGTTAGGTACTTTCCCCTTCTGACCCACCGCACTACCAGTAGTGTCGTGGGGAATATTTTTTCCCTTCTGCACTACCAAGCCAGTAGTGTCGTGGGTAACATACATCTTCATTCCCATCGACACTACTACCATATCTAAATGTAAAATTTTGGATTGTTTTGTAATAAATTATGTTTACATGGTCATATAAATGGTATGGTGACACTAGCCCATGTTAACATGGGCTAGTGTCGGCTCATATACCCTTTTACCTAACACCCTGTATAGGTATAAGCCCTTTTAGGTAATATTTTATTTTCAGTAAATTCCGTCAAACTGCAAAATTGCACAGAGGTTAGGGTTGCATTGCATATAAACATAATTTATTACAAAACAATCCAAAATTTTACAAATTTTACATTTAGTTATGGTAGTAGTGTCGATGGGAATGAAGATGTAAGGCCCTTAAAAATTACCCACGACACTACTGGCTTGGTAGTGTAGAAGGGAAAAAATATTCCCCACGACACTACTGGTAGTGTGTTTTGGTAGTGCGGTGGGTCAGAAGGGGGTACTTTCTACATAAATACGAGCACATTGGGTCGGATAGAGCCATAAATGCCATAATAAATGATTCGGTAAAAGCAGACTTATGAAATTCTGAAATGTACACCTACTAACATAAATGCATGACGTAATCCTGTGTATTTGGAAGTGGTTTTCGTAAGGATTCTCATAAAATATCAATTTTAAACGTCTAACGTACCTTACATTGAAGGGTAAACTAAGGATAAACAAATAAAATTTATGACAGACAGGTCATTATTGGTGCTTTGATCTTCAAAGCCCTGCAGCAAATTTGGCTGTCAGCTGTTTCTAACTTTACTTTCAACACAAAAAAAGTTCTTCGATAGCCATTTATCAAGTCAGATTCTTATCTGACCTTTAAGATACTAGAGTGGCTCATTATCGGAATTCTTAATTGAACGTTTGGGCGCAAAACTATGCGGGAAATTGATTGAGACGAATAGCGAGCACGCACACCGAAGTATAAGCGATGCACGGCGAAACGATCTGAGACTGAAGTGCGTGTTTACACTATAAGTCTCGATCAATTTCCCACATAGTGCAACTGCGCCATTTAATGAAGAAGGTCTACCTACCTAGAAGCAGCATGGCGCCGGCGACCGCAGCTCGCATTTCGAGCACCGCTTGGAAGAATAGCATCATGTAGGAGAACCACATGGCCGCACAGAGATCGTTGTAGACATGGCCTATACCGAATATGACGTTTTGACTGACCAGCCATCGCCTTCGCCTGTAAGGCTCGCTGAAAAGAAAACCAATGCTCAGGAGCCCCGAATTTTGTATTCCTTGGGTCAAATTAAGGATGATCTGGTATTCTAATACAAGCGCATCATGTAAGACGGTATCTTTGTATAATATGGCCAACAGTCGTCAGTTTCGACAGTAGGGGATACCGAGGAGATTGTGACATTCCTACTTAGTCGATTTATCGATCTTTAGAAAACTATTTAGGCCGGGTAGCAGAGAAAATGGCGAAAATAAGGCGAGCTTACAGCACGTATTTATTAGCTCGAGACTTTATCTAAAAACGCACTGTTACAACTCACCTCGGTCACCCCTAAAAACGTCAATGCAACATTTTTCTCAAAAACTTACATTTAAAATAAATTAACGTGATCACATCATACTGAAGTTATGCTTACATAACATTAAAATCTTTTTTTCACCCGGTTACAAACCGGTTGTGCGACTCTAGGAAAAATCCGATCTTTGTTTCCAAAGCAAGTGGCCGCGTTGATTTTCATATTTTAAATTAATTAACATAAAATGCGAAATACTAATAAAATTAGACTTAACTTTAAAGGACAATTAAGTAATCTAACACCTATAAAATCTTACCCTACATTACATAGGTCTTTGCTAAAAATAAACTGCTGTAGATTCAATTACAGGATAAAGTCACTATTTTATGCTGAAAATATAATGTAATTTGTAAACAAAGTGTGCGAACACTGATAATCCTGATAAAGAAAAATCCTGTAAAGAACTGAATAAAAGTTCTCGCACTAACAGAATTATTTCACCTTTTGTAACTCGATCGAAGCCACATTTTAGTAATTATAAACCACTGTAATATCGCATTACTGATTCCAAATGAAACTGCATCTTAGTAACGGTTAACACTGAACTCTCTATCACGTACTCTCCAATAAATCTTGGTAACATACATTGAGCTAAAATGTTAAATGAGGCATGAAGTAAATCGCGATTACGAGTTAATGTTGTGATCGCATTTTCCTACTAATATCGATTTACAAAGTTGGTTCATCCTACTTCCTACTAATAATAAATGCTAAAGTTTGTGTGGATGTATGTTTGTTACTCTTTCACGCAAAAACTACTGAATAATTTTGATGAAACTTAACAGTATTATTGTTTATACATCACAATAACATTAGGCTATTATTTATAATGATCAGGACTAGTTTAACTTCACGCGGGCGAAGCTGTGGGCAAAAGTGACTAATTAATACACACTTATCTGAAAGTTCTTTGGTCTCCGGTTCACTTATTCTATTTTCAGACATTTTCAAACGAACACTAAACTACAAATGAACTAAGTGGCCACTGCGACCAGGATCTCTACATATCTGCACCTCAAATTTCCTCTTTGTGTCCTAATTTAGTTAGCATGTCAAATGGTGCAATTGTCGGAGACGAGTACTGAAGTACTTAGATGAACGATGATGAGAAACGTTAATACGCTGATTACCTTTGAAGAGTTCCCACGTCCGTTTGAATATCCTTCTCCACCAGGTTTTCTGTGGCACCGTAAGACGCACTCATTTTGGCCCCAAAATATTTGAATCACAAAACCAATTTCAATGGATAGTTACTCCTCGTGTGATTAAAAAAAAATTACTTATCCATGACTAAGACTTACTACATAACGCATAATTTAGGAACTATACGGAAACGCGTGTCGTATGCCGGCAGGCCTCAAGACTTATGACATCGGATAAGCCCTACTCAGTCGTCCAGTCATTGGAAAAAGGTACTCATATTAGAACCGGCATGTAACCGGTTCGCTAACATGAAACAAAAAACAAATGATAAACGATCATTTTCGGAAAAAACCATTATAAAAACTAATCATTTGTCAAACATACCCATTTCGCAATTCAAATTTTGTTTTTAATAATAACGCTGTTCTAACCATGGTTCTGGCCTCATAGGTCGCGTTTTCTAAACCAAACTAACAACTTCGGTTAAATTGACCCTTAACCTTTATGATTCCTTGTTCAAACCGTAACCTTGATCCATTAAAGTGTAAATTATATAATAATAATGTAATTTATATGTATAATCGTTTTCTATTTTTAATTATATTACAGTAATATAGTTATAACAATGTAATTTATATGTATCTATAATAGTTTTCTATTTTTAGAGAGTTATTTTTACATTTAAACATAATTTGTGACAGGGACGGACTTATTTTCTACCTTGATGATTAGTGAATAAACAAATTTTTGATCTTGCCCTACCGATTACCGCTGCTACCGGTAAATTTCAGTCTTGCTACGGCCCTGTCCTGTGACCACTGTATATTGCACTCATTGTCTATTAACGAGCAGATTCGTATTGGCGTTCGCTGACTTGAACTTTGGCCATTTAAACCCTTTTTCTGCAAAGGATGGAATTATTGTCAGTTAAATTCGCATTTTCTAGACTTTCTGAGAGGAGTCCTAGCTATGGCTTTTGATCTTTCGGGCACTTATTCATTTTATTTATAAGAATAATAGAGAATATAAGTAGAAGTGTTTAATTATGATAGAGACTTTATGGTAATCTGCTCAATCTTATGTTATGGTTGCAATTGCCTCAAGAGTTATTGCAGAACCATTTTCATGACGTGAACCCAGCNTGACGTAAGGTCCAGCGCCTACGCTGAACAATCGAACTAACTCAAAGACAAAAGACGAATTTAAATTAAGGTTCATTATCGATGGTGAATGAAATAAGCATAGAAGCATAAAACGGTATTTGATTTCACTAATCATCTTAAAGCTGCCATTCTTCTGCAAAGGTTTGGTCTGTTTTTCCGCTACCGTCTGGCACCTCCTTTTTGACCTAGCTATTTCCCATTATTTGGGGTCGGCTCTCCTCGTTCTGCGGCGGCGGCAGAATACCTGTACTAATGTTTTTAGTTTTTCAAGTTAGCAAGTTTGAGTACTTCAACTTGAGAGGACAACACTGTATTTTTTATGACAAAACATGGTCCTTTTTTGAATATTCTAGAATCTAGAGCGTTACATTCAAGGAGAACTTGCTTCTCCGCTTTTCTCGCTAGCTAAGTGCCGGTCGACGGCTGGGGTGTCATACGAGTAGGCTGCTTAACTTGACAGTGGCTTCCGCGGGTGTCGGGTTTCCGCCCCGTACCGCACTTCATGCCTGGCTGCCCACGGCGCTGGTTTGCTGACCCGGACGACGGGGAACTGTCTAACTGAAAACTTAACAGATTACAGAATTAGCATCTATTTAACTATACCAAATGAACCTATTGTTTTTGAAACAGATCGTCCATGAAATTATTTATGTTTTATTTTGTGACTCGTTTGTAGACAGTGAATGGGTTAATCCTGCCTTGATAGGTACAAAAAATGTAGAGTCAAAGGATTCGATTTCGATCCGATTCAGATATAATCTTGTTCAGTGTTATGCAATATATTGTTTTACAAACAAAACCTACCTAACTTCAATTTCAATGTCACCTTTCCTGAAATCGTCACAAATACCTACTACAGTTACGAAATATTAATCACATTGTTACTTAGTTAAGAGAGAGACGTTCTGTTTGGGATACTTTATCAGATTAACATAATTATGTAGGTAGAGCCAGTCAAGGTTATACAAATAAGTAAAGTAAATACTTATATTGATATTTAATTTTACTTTTGAAATAAACATAGCCTTCAAATACAAGTAAAATGATGACTGGAAAACGTACGTATTTAGCTTTTCTAATATTGAAAATCAATATTTCAAGCTATTTTATGAAACTCGGAAAATGCAGTAAAAACTCCATCTTGTAACGAATGAGCCAAACATGTTCTTGAGTAAGTAAAGTTTGGGCGAAGAAATTCTTAGTTGGCGGTAGAGACCAGCAAGAATGTGTTGATATCTTACTTTCTCGCTAGATGGCGCTACGAGTATGTTACTGGCAAGTTTTGATGTAGAGTCGGCTGTTAATTAATAAGAAATAATTTTTTAGGCAGCCTATTGTTACATAATGGTGCTTAATTAAGCATAGTCCTTCCAGAAAATTATTCGGACGTGTTTAAATTAGCTAATTGCGAAAAAGCATATTTAACTACATAAAATTAATCTAAAATCGTTGAATATTGAAAGTAAATGTAATTATTTTTGAGTACGAAGTATCATAAATCATTTTATTATAATAATATTACAAACGTAAGTGAAATGTTTTCAGTATTAATTAGGTAGGTACTTATTCAACACAAATATACTATGTAGAGTTCCGATAATTTAAATATTACAATAGGTAGAGTCTTCAAGAATTTATTTTGTTGCATGTGGATAATTAAGATATGTAGTTATGAATCACAATTGCAATAATTTGACTGTTATTTCATAGCCTCGACGTGCAGATAATGCTTATAATTACAAAAGTTACCTTCACACACAGCTTTATTACATCTTAATATAGCACAAGTCCATTTCTTATCCTTAAGTAAATATTTACGGCGGGTTTTACAAAGCAGCTACCGGTTTTGACGTTGAATTATTCTCAATTACTTAATTGTAATTGTAATAAGCGTTGACAGAAAGGGCTTTAAATTAATGTGGGCCTTGTAATGTTGTTTTCATTTAGAAAATTAAGTGAGTACTCACATTCGTAGTAAAAATAGAATATGATTTTAATTTCAATGCGCTGATTATTTTTCCAACGATTGAGTTCAGAAAAATAATTACGTTAAATATTTCAATAATTTTAAATGCTAATTTATAAATTTTTCGTGTTAATTTATAGCTTATAAGAGTGCCTGGTAAAATATTAGATTAATTTTGTTGATTTTGCATAAAGTTACTCGTAATGTGTGTGAAGCACGTTTCACATTTCAGTTTTTATGGGCACGTATTCGCGATCAAAAAATTGAAATCTCTTTTTATATTCGAATAACTGTAATAAGTATTGAAATATGAGTAAAGACGAATATTTAAAAACTTGGAACCCCGCGGAGCGTAGCGGTCAGCCGGTCATGGAGAACCGCCATCTTACAACGAAATGATGCTTGGTTGGTTTTGGGGAAAAAAGATAATTTAGTGCACGAATAAAACTACAATTGTTACTTACTACGAGTAGGTATTTTCTGTGTAAGAAAACCAATATGCAACAGTTACGTCGGAAATCGAAGCTTATCAATAAAATAACTATACTTCATTGGTTTAAAACTTTAACATTGTTTGATTAAGGTCTTTATGAAAGACAAACATAAACTCAATAAACTTATTTTATGCTGTTTACTCATACCTACTTGTATATACAGAGATCATTTCTTCAAAAATGTAGAGTTAGCTTAGCATTATTGTGTCCTTATTTAGAGGAATTCATTAATGAAAGATTCACCTCCATCAAGTTTTATGTGGGCTTACAGAGATAACTTAAAATTAACATGTTTATAAATATTTCAAAATAGATGCGTGTGAAAAACACTGGGCGAACAAATTTATGGTGTCTTGCCTAATAATGTTTAGTAAAGTCAATAACCATATACTTTATACGGGTGCCACTGCGATAGCTTACTTTACGGTACAAGGTAAAATAAAAAACCGCAATTTGAACATGCGAACGAACCGAAAAGAAAAACTTAAGTCTAATAAAAATTAAAGGCTCCGATAAATAATTTTACAGCTTGCGGAACACAAAAAAGTTTTGAAAAGAGCAAAGTAAAGTATCTCTACATAATTTATGTTGATTGAGTCGTGTTTGCAATTAAAATAAAGATTCCAGAAGCGCTTTGATTGAAGCGCGAAGCCCATTATTAGTAACGTTATTCTTGGTCGTGACTCTTGAGGCTCCGAGGAGTCCTATTAAGACTCTGAAGAGGTATTTCAGAGTGTGAGTAGGTACATTATATTGGTAAGAACTTAAAAAAGATATACCTATTGGATAAAGAAAACCGTGTAAATATCTTTACACGGATACTTATCTTCGTAGGCTAAGGATATATTCGATGAGGAAAATCAGGTGAAGATTTTAGACGAAACGTTACAAGAAGAATGGAGAATGCCGAAACTCGAAGAAGTGGTAGTGGAGGGAGAATGTAGAGACTCGAATGGTGTGCATCAATTGAGACCTGTCCTGCAAAAGATCAACGTGACCTATGACATGAACTTAGTACATAGATAATAATATGTAGAGCGTGCAAAAATAACCTTAAAAACTTATTTTTTGTAGATCGATAGAAAACTGCTCATTTTTATTCTGTTTCAGCAGCTATCGAAATCGGAGTGACGCAATCAGATAGACCCGCGTTACTGCCATTCAAAAATGGCAGCCTATTAAAAATAGGCTGATCACGATCGGTCACAACCGATTGCCCAATCGAATGCAGTATAAGGTGCAGTGACTGCGCTCGCTTGATTTATGCGACCGGCGGTAGACAGTCGTGGCTAGTGATGTGTGTAGTCGCTAGTATTTAAAGTATCTACGAACTGATGCAAAAAGTCTGAAATTGTGCAAGCTTGAATATTCGATTTTTCAGAGGACAGTTTTAAAGAGGGCCATATTAAAGCACTTAGGTTTCAGCACGATTACATTTTATAACTTTGATAAAATGTATATCGCGAGCGAGGCGTCGCGTGAATTTCAATTACACGTTAATCTCGTGTTTTATTACTTGATTTTCCAAGCTTACCCGACAGCAAAATGCATGTTACGTGTAATATGAGAACATTTTTCGAGTAAACAGTTAAA